TACAGATAAAAAGCAAGGTCACAAAAAATAAATATATGCTACTGACTTATCGTTCTCATTTTTCAAATTGCAAAACTACCTCATATCATTCGTGTGAGAGAACAAAATATGACTATAGGTGATAGGAGAAAGAGTACGACGTAATAATCAATTAAGAGGTAGTTGATTTAGACTTTAATCAATATAAATAATAAATACATTCATGTTAATTTAACTTTTTTTAATAGGAATAATTGAATATTGTCCAACGATTATTACTCATCTATTTCATGAAGTTTTTCAAATCATGTTTTCTTGGCAAGGTTGGTTAGCAGCTTCGGCTATTATTATGATACTATTATATATAAGTCTTATCTTTCATGAAATAGTATCGATTTCTTAATATCATTTCAATATAGATTATTCTTGGTTTTTATAGTACATGTATCGTGTCGTCATGTGTGTTGTACAAATCAGAGTGGCTTATAATGGTTTAATCTTTCGAAAAGTGAATAAAAAGTAATTGATGAAATAGTTTTTATTATTCTTTTTAAAACGGTACTGCGTTTATCAAGTCCTACAATAAATAATTCCAGTTCTGATGAAATTATGAGTGTATTAGCAAATAATACCAATAAAGTAGAACTGATTCATTACTTTTTTAAGTGTTTACCGATATGTTCTTAAGAGATTCTGACATGAATGATTAAATGTTTTTTTAAAAGCGACAATATGAATCATGTATTGAAGAATGTTGAATGGTATGATTTTTTGTAGGTCGCTTCACTACAAGTCATTGTAGTTGTTTTTCTATTTTCGTATTTTGTTAAATATATTAATATTTTGATATACACTAATTCTCTTATTGATTCAACCATTGTTCAGTCATCTATTTCTTCATTTACGGTTTGTCTTTTTAGTCTTTATATTATTATCATTTGTATGATAAAATTTCATGATTTTCAATACCGAAGTTTTAAAAATAACTGATGAACGTGTTAAAATTATGTCTGAGATTATTAAATGAATGCAAATTGTAAAGATGTATGGTTGGGAATCAACATTCGAAAGAAAAATTCGTCATATAAGAAACGTAAATGTATCATTCTAATATTACTTAAATATGAAATAAATGTCGATGAATTATTTAGACATGAAACTATAAAAACTACTCTATTTATGATGTGTAGGGTGTGGGTGGGTGTGCTTCTGAATTTTATATTTCTCTTCATACACTCGCGCACTCATACCCACACCCAAAATTCATAATATAATTTACGTTAGTTGTTATTCCATATGAACAATTCATTTTGCTACGATTCGGATAATTATATGTTTGAAAATGACCACGATCATTAATTTGTATTGGAATTTTTGAACAATCTAATGGACATGAAACATTTGGTGCAACAAGTTCAGTATTTGTTGGTATACATTGATATTCAACATATTGATAAACACCAATTTTATTACTACATAATGGAACAACTTGATTTTCTGTATAGAAATATGTATAACTTTGACGACATGTACATATTGAAATTGTTTCAACAATTCAATGGTTATTTGCATCATGTGATTCACATTGATTAGATTGAGTAACATCAAATATATCTTTAGTTATAGATGTTACCGTTCCATTTAAATTTGAACAATTATCATCCATAGGTCGATCAACAATTTCGAAACATATTCTCACCCTACGATTGTCTGCTGATTGATTGTGTTGTAACATAATATTGAATAAGTATTGTTGATGAACACAAATATAGATAAGCATATCGTACACGACAACAATGTCGTTATGTTTGAACACTATCAACGGCATAGACATGATCTTTAGCAGAAACCTCAGATATTGAACCAATATATAGATCATTTAACCATAAACAAATTATTTTATCATTTGGTACATGTATTGTACGAAAACATTCGGATGCTATTGTTTGAAATCGTGTTGGATAATTAGGACTTCGTATGATTCCATAATCACTTGTTATTTCTATATTCTTTTGACAAACATTATATTCTTTTGTTGAATCATTGATTGATATTGGTACACAATCATATTCAATATGAATATAACTACTGAATTCATTATTACATTGTAACAGTTTTTGTGTATTGCATACATGTTACATTTTACAGTATCTGCTGTATATATTACCGTACTCATTGGATTGACAACACGATCACTTGGTAAATAACTACATGAACCAGCTATTTGTGCAACGCCATGCGAAGCACTTCTAACAACAACAACATTATTCAATGGAAAACGAAGAGTAACAGTTGATGACACACATCAATCTATTGATGTCATTATTTGAATGTTTTGTCCATTGACATATGTTCTAGTGAGAAAAATATCATCAAATATGTAAAAAAGTAAATATACTATTCTAGTCATATTAATAAATTTGCTACTTTCTTTCGTAGAATAGTAATAAAGAGACTAGTGGTATTTTATCTTTACTTTACTGAATAAAGTAAAGTAGATCTGCTTTGTCCAAAAAACAAATTAAAGTACTGCAGTTGAGTTTCATGTAGATTGATTAGTTTATCATCATACTTTGATATACAGTCAAATATGTAAAAGACTATTCAAAATTATATATCTATTAGATAAGCGGAAAATAATACAGGTTGAAATTGAAAAGACAATGTTTTTTATTTATTACCAATTCAAAGGTTCGCAGCTCTTTCTGTATTGCTGACCCTTGCGTCTAAGCAGCTAATAACTCGATTCATCAGTAGAAATATTTCTATAATATCCAAAAATCTAGAGAACTATAAATGTAGCTTAGAGATGCATATTAGAAAATGTTAGAATACAGTTGAATAGATAATATCGCACCGTTTTTGAGAAGCTATTACGATTTATTTTGTTTTAAATTGATTGGATACATTCAAACTAGAGAACTTATGTATGGATAGCATATAATGCATTTTAATTGTACTAAAAGAAAATAATATTCCAGAAGAATTAGTCGTCACCTTCAATTGGTATGTCGCCTTCTCAGTGCTGCTTTTGCTATCATCCTCATCGGTCGATCTCTTTCATCTGATGCTAGCATATATAGTGAGAATGTGGATGCTTCTTTTTTCCACAACCATACCTGCACCCTAAATTAGATTGAGTGAATCTATGAAGTTTATAACACGTTTTGAAAGAAGGACGGGTGTGAATGTGAATCTTGTCTTCGCATTTACCCACATCCCACCCATCCTATTTAGCCCTGGCGCTAAAGTATAGAATGAACATTGGCCTACAAAATCGTGTGTTGTTCAATTTTGTACAATATTCAATTGAAAAGTTATAGAAATTTTACAGAAACTTGAATGGTCGGAATATTCAACTTTCTCTCATCTTCGTACTTTCTTGTGATCTGACTATCTCATAAAAAGCTGTAAAACAGACAGATATGTAGAAATTTATTTGAGCTATTGTCAGAATACGATAATGACGATCCATTTAACGTTTCCTCGAGTCAAGCACACCGTTCAAAAAGTAGATTTTCGCTTG